GTTAAAAATGTTACAATTAGTATATTTATATTTATGACTAAATTTTTTATCATATATTTTTAGTTTTAGTTTGTACCTATTTTTAATTTGCAACCCTTTTTAATTTGTACCAATTTTCTTTTCAGTTTAATTTGTAACCATATATTAATTTCTTTTTGTGCCCATATTTTTTAAAGTTTTATTTGTATTTGTACCCATATATATTTTTTAATTTATTTGTACCCATTTTTTATTTTGCCAAATGTACCCATGCTAATTATATGTATCCATTCATGTAATTTTTTCAAATTTTTAATCTTAAAACGTACTCATTCTTAAATATACCAATTTGTTATATGTAAAATGTACCCTTTTTTAATATAAAATCTGTTCAATCTTTTTCTAATCCATTTTTAAACTTATATGGGTACATTCTTTTTTCTTTGATTTTAAAATGTATCCATGTCAAGTTTAATCGAAAAAATTTACTAATGTTATTAAGCCTAATATATCTTCTTCTTTTTTTTTTTTTTTTTTTTGTGATTTTGAAAAATGTACCCATGTTTTGATACAATAATTTTTTGGTTAATTTTGATGAATATACCCATGTTTACACACACACACACACAACAGTATATTTATATTTTAATATTTTAATCCCACAAATTATGGTTTTTTATTTAAAATATCATTTACATAAACAACTATAATTTTTAATTTTTAATTTAAAAAATATAGTAACGTACATAGAAATAAATTTTCACATTAATTTCAGGGACTTAGATCAAAAATTGAAAACCAACAAGGTTTCAATCAAAGAATATTCATAGTTAGAAAGTCTCCCTAAAAAAAATGCAGTCTTCCTTTTTATGCGCTGATGAATAGTATTAATACCTTTTTTTTTCCCCAAAATCATTAATTCGCCTTTTAAATTTTGCATAGTTTGAAAAATAATTCATGATATTAATACACATAATATCCATATAATGAATTGTAGATACCAAATAAGTAATTAGGGGTATTTTAGACATCTAAAAATGAAAAATGTGGAAAGTCAAACTGTGACATCCCACATCACCCAAGGGAGTGATCCTTATATGTATATTCCTATCTTTACCTAGCACGAGGCTTTTTAGGAGCTCACTGGCTTCGGGTTCCATGGGAACTCCGAAGTTAAGCGGGTAGCGCACAAGAGCATTCCTAGGATGGGTGACCCATCGAGAAATTCTCGTGTAAGTTCCCAGAAACAAAACCGTGAGGGTGTGCTGGGGGCCCAAAGTTGACAATATCGTGCTACGGTGGAGTCGAGCCTGGGAACTGGTCTCGCCCGGGCCGGGATGTGACAATTTGGTATCATAGCCTAACCCTGGTCGCGTGTGTGCCGACGAGGATGTCGGGCCCCTAAGGGGGGTGGATTGTGACATCCCACATCGCCCAGGGGAGTGATCCTTATATGTATATTCCCATCTCTACCTAGCACGATGCTTTTTGGGAGCTCACTGGCTTCGGGTTCCATGGGAACTCTGAAGTTAAGCGAGTAGCGCGAGTTCTCGTGTGAGTTCCCAGAAACAAAACCGTGAGGGTGTGCTGGGGGCCCAAATTGGACAATATCATGCTACGGTGGAGTTGGGGCCGGGAAGTGATTCCACCCGGGCTGGGATGTGACACAAACAGAATAATGAATTTGCTTATATGTAACCTAGTAAATAGGTTTTATTCAGACAAAAAAAATATGTGGGATTTTGTGTAAAGAAACGCGTCATTGCAATGATATGTAATTGTTACGTGCATGTAATTTGCTGATTTCAAGCTGATGAGATGAAGCTAAGCCTGCATCACTTAATGTTAACTAGGATCGGGGCCGATCGGACGTGACTAGCTTGTTGTGCCCCAATTTGCCCAAATATCGCACCAAATATATATGTCCTAAATAACAACTATGAGCACATATGCTAATAATTAATATGTATCATTAGGAGATCATATTAATTAATACAAAATCGCGGAGGTACAAGAACACAAACACAAACATTTAGATAAAACACAGCGTAAAATATTGTGTTTTTTTCAATATGACAAAAAGATGACATTTTTATTGGAAACATTGGGCTCGATCGCCATCCATCCAAATAAGAAAATTGGATTGGTGGTTTTCTTCTTGTGGCTGTCATTAGTGCCTATCAAATCCCAAAAATACGTATGGTGTGTAAATTATAAACTCATTAATATTGGTTGATTACGATAGTATACAAATTTTTTATTTGATTGGAGTTGTTAAAATTGCTGTTTTTGCCGGATAATTTAAAATTGGAATCTTGTGAACAAGTTGCAGTGTGATTGGAAGGTGTAGTATACACTTCGAAAAAAAATACTTGAAAATTTGGAAGGCTTTCAATGTTAGGTTAAGATACTGGTCGATGGTCACGTACCATTAATTTTAAATCCATTTAATTTCTTTATACACCAACTTGTGAATTTCTGCCGGCGGCTCTGGAAAAACTCGAACTACAATTCTACAAACGACTTGCATATTGCATGCTCTGAGGCCATCCCTGATATGATATTCCAGCCAGCCGAATACATCAGACCATACCTTTAGTTAAATCAGCTTTTTGGAAACATGTTTGTGCTATCAATGTAGAGTCAACAGTACTGAGTGCCCCTTTTTTTGGATGTGTCTTCTCAGTGTCTATATGTGAAATATATACATACATATATATATATATATATTTTTTTTTTTTTTCTAGTTGGATACAATAAAAAGTATGTATCTGACTTCTTGCAAATTAAATTATATATAGGGAGACTTTGGATGTGGTCTTTAGTTATGAATAATCTTTGATTGAAACCTTGTTGGTTTTTAATTTTTGATCGAGGTTCCTGAAGTCAATGTGATAATTTATTTCTATGTACGTTACTATATTTTTTAAATTAAAAATTAGAAATTTTAGTTGTTTATATAAATGAGATTTTAAATAAAAAACCATAATTTGTGGGATTAAAAATATTAAAATATAAATATACTATTGTGTGTGTTTATATATATATATATATATATATATATATAAACATGAGTACATTCATCAAAATTAACCAAAAATATTATTGTATCAAAACATGGGTACATCCTTCAAAATCACAAAAAAAAAAAAAAAAAAATATTAGGCTTAATAACATTAGGAAATTTCTTCGATTAAACTTGACATGGATACATTTTAAAATCAAAGAAAAAATAATGTACCCATATAAGTTTAAAAATGGATTAAAAAAAATTGAATAGATTATATATATATATAAAGGTACATTCTACATATAACAAAATAAAAAGTTTTACATGAATAGGTACATATAATTAGCATGGCTACATTTAGCAAAAATAAAAAGTACAAATAAAAAATATATATATTTGGGTACAAATACAAATAAACTTTAAAAAATATGGGCACAAAAAGTAATTAATATATGGGTACAAATTAAAACTAAAAAGAAAATTCGTACAAATTAAAAAAGAATTACAAATTAAAAATGGGTACAAACTAAAACTAAAACTAAAAATATATGATAAAAAATTTAGTCATAAATATAAATATACTAATTGTAACATTTTTAACATTAAATGAATATATTTAGAAATAAAAAAAAATTTATTAGTGAAATAATTAATGATGTTATTAATACCCAAGGACCTTAATCAAAAATTGAAAAGGAATAGGATTTTAATCAATGGAATAGCAAAAAAAAAAAAAGGATGAGAACCTAATTTCTCCTTATATATATTTTCAAAAATTATAATTCAAACCAATTAGTTTTTACCCGCAGCAAACAAAACAAAAGCTGCCTTGCTCCCCAAGGCTACTAGATAGCAGCCAAACTGTTAACAAAACAAAGGACTAGAAAAGAAGAAAAACTAATTACAAACTCTGATTCCAATTTTATTGACTACAATAAAGAACTAAGACCACAATATGGTAAAGACGACTACATAACAAAAGGACTACATCGTATAACGATTTAACTTTAATATTAAGTTACAAGGTGTGTCTATAAAGACTTCATTCTGAAACTAATAAGAAAGCAATCTAACCCTAATAGAAAATAGAAAAAGAGACATATACTCCTTATATCTCTAGAAAAATGAAAACATAGAAAAATGAAAAATTAAAACAATATTTGACAAAAAAAAAAAAAAAAAAAAACCAATATCACCCAAATATCAAACCAATATCACACAAAATGGCATCTAGTTTATTAAAAATATATTAAATAAAAAGAAAATAACTAGACCGCTATACCTTTGGTGCGTTGCGGGTTTGTAATTGGGAATTGAACAGACGGGCTGAAGGAGAGAGAGCCGGAGCAGATCGAGGCTGAAGGAGGGGGCTGCGAGGGACTGCAATTGGTCGTTTTAACCAGATGATCGGGATGAGAAACCAATCTAGAGCCTAGAGAGTGATGACTACAAGGTAATTTCAGAGTTGGAGTAGGAGGTGGCATCCACGACGTAAGGACATTTTGATCACCAGTAAGCGGTTGACACGTTAGAAAAAAAATTAGGTTTTTTTTTTTTTAACCGTGCTCATCTGTTTTCCATAGTGGTTGATGATGGAGCACGCCCACTTGCATGCACCCCTTGCTTAAACAATTCTGTGAAAGCATATCATATCCTTCAAGTTATGCCTTAAGGCAACAGAAAAAATTCATGCCTGCAGAGACCCGTGTTTTCTCTTTACTCTCTCTCTCCCTCTCTCTCAAAGAATATATATATATATATATATATACACACAAGCAATGCAGCCACTTCTTTTTAACGGTTGCTGCATTTTCTATCCTTGAAACCATCCACGTCGCTTTAGTTAAGAGCAACTCCTCCAAACCACCCCAACTTGCAGTGGTCTCGCGGCATGCATGATTATCTCTCTGCATTTCTTTAATTTTTATCTGTTTTGGCATCCTGTATCCGACCTTTCTCCTTCCCTCTCTAGCATCAAATACTTCAACTCTTCGCCTCTTTCTCTCTGTCCATGGCTAGTAAGCAAGGAGAAGTGAGCACCTTCTTCTCTACCTTTTAGGCATCCCGTTAATATTTTTCCTCCTCCATATATATATATATATAGTATGTATGTATATGTACACACACACACACACACACACACACATATATATGCATATATACATGCATAAAAATGCTTATAACAATATTAATATATTATGTTTCTCTTAATCAGGTGATGTGGCCTAGATTAGTGGCAAACAAGATTCTGAGAAAGCAATTGGGAAGCAACAACTTTGTAGCAGATTTTCCAAGCAACGAGGTCTCGGAGGAATTAATACTGGAAACACCAAGTGTTGATCAACCGTCTTCAAACCTTACCTCTACCGTCTTCAATCATCACAAGGACACTAACACACACAAGTACAAGTATGTATTTATATACCAACTCGATCCCGATATTGTTTTCCCTGGTCCACCATGATCAGTACTCCAATTAGTACGTATCTTTTTTTAATAAAATCTATTTTTATACATCTCATACGTATGGTTTTGTTTTCTCTTCATATAGGGTTTTTGTTAGTACATGGAATGTTGGTGGGGTGGAACCACAAGAAGATATGAATATGGAGGATTGGATTGACACATCCTCTGACATCTATGTTCTTGGGTACGTACATAATTCCATACTAAATTAGAAAAAAATAAATAAAAAAATAAAAGTTGTAATTACTCACGATGCATACGTTAATTTTCACGTTGTTCAGGTTTCAAGAAATCGTTCCTCTGAAAGCCTCCAATGTTCTAGGATCTGAGAATAGTAAGATCTGCATGAAATGGAATTCCTTGATCAGAGAAGCTTTAAACAAGAAAAGACACAACAATATTAATAATCCACCAGACTTCCACTGTATTGTAAGTAAGCAAATGGTGGGGATACTAATATCAGTTTGGATTCGAAGTAATCTTCGTCCATTTATTCGGAATCCAAGTGTCTCCTGTGTTGGCTGTGGGATCATGGGATGCCTAGGAAATAAGGTACGTGGACTTAATATTATTACATACTTTATGCTTTGAAAAAATTTACAATACACAGAGACAACTGCTGAATTGAATTTAAAGACTCTTAAGTGGCAGAATATTGATATTTTGTAATATTGTAGCCTCATGATCGATATTCCAGAGCCTGAGATTATACATGATCTAAATAATAATAATGATCAAAGGAACATTACTTTTTTATCTTAATTAAAATCATGGTATGCATGCAGGGTTCGGTTTCTGTTAGATTTCGATTACATGAAACAAGCTTTTGCTTCGTGTGCACTCATCTAGCTTCAGGGGGTAGAGAAGGAGATAAGAAACTGAGGAATTCTAACATATCCGATATATTTTCCAGAACAAGTTTTCCCAGAGGCCCTTTGCTTGATTTGCCACAAAGGATTTTAGATCATGAGTATGTTAACTAAACTTTGAAACCGCCCAAACCAATTCGTTATTGCATTAGTTTATTATACATAATATATAATTAATCTCATTAATCAATCAATCTATTTTTCACTATATATGTACGTAGCATGAAAATAACACAATTCTACAACTACAATTAATATATATTTAATTAAGGCTTAAGCACCATTATTGTTTATTTTTCTTCTTTTAATTGTCGTGACAAATAACTAATTAATAGAGCCGACAAACCTGTAGTGTTGTTGATCTTTATTACTACTTGTCTTGTTCTATATAATATTATTTACAATTAAGTAGCTGTTAACCAAATTTTATATGGCCATGTTGGACTAATTATGTAAACCACATGAAAAGCTTGACTTCTCTATACCAGTAAACAGTAAATGGTCTATTAGTCATATGATCATGTCATTCAAACTATGGGGTTTTTAAAACATTGACTTCATATATGTATATATGAGAGTTAAGGAGATTCTTTTAAAAGTGAGATTCTTCATGAATTTTCTGTCACCTCACATTTTAACGTTAATTACCGTGTCAACATTGTAAAATATTGTGCCAAAAAAACATGAGGTGGCAGAAAGTCCATAAAGAAACTCACTTTTGAGAGTCTCCTAATTAGCATTTGTCATATATATATATATATAGTCAAAAGTTAATATCATATAAAGGCTAGCTAATTAATTACAGATATACATAATATGTTTTGAAGTACTACTGTAAATTAAATACCTCAACAGCGGCGACTAATTGCTTGGTTCAAAAATATTGCAGTCGAGTAATTTTCCTCGGAGACTTGAATTATAGAATTTCCCTTCCGGAAGCAACAACGCGTTCGTTAGTGGATATAAGAGCATGGAATATCTTACTAAAACATGATCAGGTAGACCACTTAATCGTTAGTACTGTACCCTTTATATAAATATTTATTTAAAAAACTTGAATTTAATTTCTTTCACTCAAAATTTGACATCAAATTTCATTGGGATTAGCTGATGATGCAGCTCAAAGAGGGACAAGTACTCGAAGGTTGGAATGAAGGAGCTGTTGAATTTGCTCCCACTTACAAATATTGTCCAAATTCTGATGTATATTATGGATGTCCTCCGGGAAAGAAAGGTGAAAAGAGGCGTGCTCCTGCCTGGTAAGTTTCGCTTAACTATTACATGTAATATGCAACATGTATATCGACACGTGATGTTATCATAACAAGTGATATAAAATTAATTGTCTTTAATTATTGGTTTTTTTAGGTGTGATCGGATAATTTGGCACGGAGAAGGGTTGAAGCAACATGTATACAGTAGAGGTGAATCAAAATTGTCTGATCACAGACCTGTGAATGCAATATTTACAGCCGAAGTTGGGGTTTTAAGAACATTGAGAGGATATCATAGTTTTTTTCTATCAGACAAGTTAGACAGAGTATCAAGCAAGTTTCAAGTATCCTCCACCCATAATTTTGTATGGAAAGGGAGATCAACAAGCTTGAAACTTTGAGCATAAAAATGTTAGTTTACTTAAGAAGCTTGTAATAATTATAATAAATATATAGTTGTGCTTACATAACTCGGCTGATGAATGTACAGTAAAAGTTGGTGTGAAGAAGCACGCTTTCTATTTAGGTCGAATATTATAAAATTGAAGGTTTTTGTTTTGGTCCAATCATTATATATAATACAAATTTAATTACATATATACATATACATACGTGTGTGTGTGTGTGTGTGTGTGTGTGTGTGTGTGTGTGTTATGCTCCCAACCGGGGACCAGGGTCTTGTGTGCTAACCATCATGCACCCATATACATCTCGTGGCAGATATTTTAATCGAACTTACTAATGATCAGTGTAGCTTAAGAATTGAGCAATTTTTTTCGTTGTATTTGAAATATAGTCATGTAACGTTGTTCTAAAATCGAGACGTATAAAGTTATTGTCCATTCTCATTATAACACGTGAATAATACATCGCATGAATTGTGTTTCAGATATCTATAAAAATGTCTCTTACAAATTAAATGAAGATAAATGCTAAGGAGACTCTTAAAAGTGGGACTCTCCATGAACTTTATGCTACCAAAGGCGGAGCCATGAAGGGATTAAGATCGATGGTCCCAAGCCCATCATGACATTTTTCTCATGCATAAATGTTTAGTGTTATGTTTATAATTTTCAAGGTTTTTCCGTAGGTTCGGAGCCCTAATCAGATGTTTTTATTTTAATTTTTTTATCGGGTTTAATTTGAGGTTGGTAGCTCCTATGGAGTTCAGACAATCTATTGTTGAGCCTTGAGGTGAACTTTGGTCTGGAGATTAGTGGAGGGAGAGAGGAAGAAAGTCAGAGAGGCTTCAGGTTTAGGTTTAAGGAAGAGGATATATGATGAGAATGATATCATACCAGACCCAAATGAGGATAGTTGGTTGCTCACCATACATCAAAGTAATTTTTGTGAGATTAAGAAAGTGTTTTGGATTGAGACTTTTGAGCCCCTCTTAAGCTAAAATCCCGACTCCTTCACTATTCGTGACCTCATATTTTTTGTGTCACATCTCGGCCCGGGCCCCCACCACATCCCGGGCTCAACTCCACCATAGCACAATATTGTCCGCTTTGGGCACCGACCACGCCCTCATGATTTTGTTTCTAGGAACTCACGCGAGAACTTCCCAATGGGTCACCCATCATGGAATTGCTCTCGCGCGCTAGTCGCTTAACTTTGGAGTTCCGATGAACTCCGAAGCCAGTGAGCTCCCAAAAGGTTTCGTGCCAGGTAGAGATGGGAATATACATATAAGACTTACAATATCCACTCCCCTGGGCGATGTGGGATGTTACATTTTGCACAATATTTTATAATGTTAGCACGAAAATTGTCATTAAATTGTAAGGTGGCAGAGAATCTCACTTTGAGATAATCACTTAACGTTTCTCTAAAATGAATGCACTGAAAGATGATCATTTGTCGGGAAATTCAATTTTATTATTGAAAAAGATAAAATGAAAGGAGTGATGGAAATGGAACACATGATGATATATATGATTGGGAAGTTTGGAAATATGCCTTGTAGTGAAAACAGCATATCTTTGAGCATGGCTAAGTGGAAGATCCATCATCCATATCTGATCTTCATTTTTAATAAACAAGAATATATACCAGATACCAAAGATATGATCGATAAGAAAAACTACAACTTGTTCAAAGAAAATACTATTACAGGTTGCTTGTCCTTGTGGCCTACACCCACTCCTCACGTGAGAATCAATTTGGAACACAAATAATGCAGTTCATTTGAAGGAGATAAATTTGAAACAAGGAAAAATTAGTATTCGGTTCCTAGTTACTAATGTTCATTGACTGAAATTTTATTAGTTTTCAGATTTTGATCCAAGTCCCTAGCATTAATATAATAATGAATTTACATGTTAGTTATATAATTTTTTTAAATAAAAATTAATAATTGATTTAGAATTTTAATATGGGGAAACTTGATATAGGTCTAATTTTTTGAGTCAATAGTAGGAATAGTCCAATTTATTAAAATAAGTCCAATTTCTTAAATCTTATTATTTTATTATCAATAATTATCTCTTAAATGATCAGATTTATTATAAAAATAAAATTTCTTCCTAATTATCTATTTGATTATTTATTTATTTTGTTCTTTCTTGTTCTTTATCCTGTTTTAAACCCCATTTATAGATTTTAGTTTTTATTTTTATAATCAACCTATATCATAGGTTAATTATATTTATCTACCTATATGACATATTCTTTTTTATAATCAAGTACGATTCATTTGTCTTGCTTGTAGATATATTATGTTTTTTCTACCTTTTAGTTAAGTTTCATATCTTACTTATAGGTATGATATACATTCATATATTTGTTACTTGAGTTAGGGTAGAATGATTTGCAGATAGATTTATGTCAATATATTATTTTTTTTGTTATAAGATATTAATTATATTTTTTGGGGTTGAAAATTCATAATATTAGAAGATTTTAATTGATTTTTAATATTTTAGAACATATAAAATGAGCATTAAAAAAATAAATACATATAATTAGGTAATTGGACTCACTCCTGAAAACCATCTATGTTTTTTACTTGGATTTAAAAGCCCCTTTTAATATTCACACCTTTATTAAACTATTAACTAATTTTCAATTCAAAACATTTCCAAAATAAATAAATAAATTAGAATAAGTTTGTATCCATTAGCTTTTTTAAAAAATGTTTTCAAATTTTTAATCTTATATGTACCCATTCATATAATCTTTTCAAATTTTTAATCTTAAAATGTACCTTTTTTTATATATAAAATGTAACATCCCACATCGCCCAGAAAAGTGGATCATGTAAGCCGTATATGTATATTCTCATCTCTACCTAGCACGAGACCTTTTGGGAGCTCACTGGCTTCGGGTTCCATCGGAACTCCGAAGTTAAGCAAGTTCGCATGAGAGCAATCCTATAATGGGTGACCCACTGGGAAGTTCCCGTGTGAGATCCCAGAAACAAAACTGTGAGGGCATGGTTGGGGTCCAAAGCGGACAATATCATGCTATGGTGGAGTCGAACCAGGGATGTGGTGGGGGCCTGGGCCGGGATGTGACATAAAATCTATTCAGTTTTTTTTCTAATCCACTTTTAAACTTATATGGGTACATTCTTTTTTCTTTGATTTGATAATGTATCTCTATCAAGTTTAATCAAAGAAATTTACTAATGTTATTAAGCCTAATATCTTTTTTTTTTTTTTTTTTTTTTTTTTTTTTTTTTTGTGATTTTGAAGAATGTACCCATGTTTTGGTACAATAATTGTTTGGTTAATTTTGATGAATGTACCCATGTTTATACACACACAATAGTATATTTATAATTTAATATTTTTAATCCCACAAATTATGGTTTTTTATTTAAAATCTCATTAATACAAACAACTATAAATTTCAATTTTTAATTTAAAAAATATAGTAACATACATAGAAATAAATTATCACATTAATTTCAAGGACTTCGATAAAAAATTGAAAACCAACAAGATTTCAATCAAAGAATATTTATAGTTAGGGACTGCATCCAACGTCTCAATTGAAACAAATAATGCAATTCATTTGAAGGAGATAAATTTGAAAAGAAAAGCCATACATGGACTAGCAAGTTGTATTTAATTGTCATGGATCATGGTTCCCCAATCACGACCATAATTCATTCGTTTTTCTTTTAGATTAAAAAAAAAGTTTAGTAGGAGATTAGCTACTCTCACCATCAGCGTTAGGGCATACTCACAATATCAAATTAAAGAAAACAAATTAAACAATGATATAACAATGGTTTTCTTTAGTACCTGAAAGGGTCAAAGTATATCTACCACACCAGATAGAGTTTTTAGATCTAAATACGGGTGCTTTTTGAATAGATCAGAGCAGAAACAACGTTTTTAATTTTCATTCTAAAATTTCAGAAGCGAATTCGGAATTTTCAGAATATTAAAAACTGTTTTGCAAAATGTTAACGATAAACCCTTACTTTCAGAATCGGAATTATTCCAACCTGCACCCCTATACACAAACCAAGACGCACGCTCATATTTGTCAACCATTCGCTGCAGCATTCTCCTCATCACCTCCCATTCCGACGTAAGATCACAATTATTAGCAAAACTAATTGGGATAACTTGACTCAAAAAAAAAAAAAAAGGGGGAGAACATGGAGGGCCGAAGCCCAGCAAGAGAGCAAGAAAACGTGGGCCTTGAGACCCAACTGAAACGGGGCGGAATTAGTGTACGAGGCCCAAATAATCGTATGTCGAAAACGCCGTCGTTAGCTTCCGGAAGTAAGCAAAACTGTCCAGTTTCAAAAACGCGCGCCCTAAAACTGGATACTCCAAGGCGGCATAGAGAGATGCAGAGGGAGTTCGCTGCGGCGGCGCTGCCTCTGCGAGCGCGCCTCCTTCACTTTCTCATCGAATCTGCTCAAGTACGCCGGTTTCGAATTCTTTATCGCTGTGAATTTAATCGATTTTATTCTCAATTTCCTTAAATTCTCACACCGGAATGTAAAATTTAGCAACTCCAACTCGCTCCGATAGTGAAATACACCGCACTGTCCCTCTTCGCTCATCGATTCTACCCTCGATGTTTATCCCGGTAAGTAATACGATATAATCTTTTCAATTTCTGTTTTTTCTTCAAGTAAAATTAGGGCTTCACTTGACTTGGATGTACATTTGAAGGTTGGAGGAACGGGCAAATGATGTGGCAAACTGGCTTTTGTATCCCTTGAGAGAAAGCAATTTGCAGCTGTTTGCGCTTGTTTCGCTGTGGATTTCAACGAAAGTAGGTTTTCGATCTTTTTTCTCTGCAAATTTTCTTGGACTTTTCATCCTAATCTATGTCCATTTGATGCTTTATCGCTAGATACACACTTCTCTGCATTTGTCTGTGAAGATATTCAAGTCTTTGGGGGACAGCATCATCAAGGAGCAACACTACACCGTTCGAGATTACTTGGAAGCGGTAAGCCATAAATATGTAGTGCTATATTCCACATAAAAATTTGATCTTTTTTTTCTTATCGGGTGCGTTACATTTTGGCTTATCATGTCACAGGAGGTGGTTTTAATGCAGGTAAACTCTAAAGCTCTGAAATTTCTCTTCTGTTCTTTCTTTTGTTTGCTTCGTATTGTGCTAGTCGGCTGAGAGTTGTCTATGTTCTTTATCAAAGGAAGTGAATTTTGAGATTGGCATCAACAATATTGCTTTTGTACACTTCGAAGAGCTTCTGCTCCAATTTAAGTAAGTTTTCGTTACTTTCATTGTACTATTAGTGTTAGCTTCTTCCTTTCATGATCTGCTTGTTTTCGAGGATTACTAGCCTCATTTCGATACATCTTTTGTGGGGTTTTGAGTTCAGGGGGGTGGCAAAAGTTGGGGAACTTGTGAACTTTGAAGCAGGCATGGACATCATGGATCTTCTTTACGAAAAGGAGGAGACATCGATGCTCTACACCAATCCTCGCTCTCTCGCTGCATCAGTCTTGGCATGTTTACAAAACAGAATCTTAGAACTAGTAAATGTTGCTAACTTTGGTTTGTTGTTCTCTAATTCTGTTTCTATGTTGTTTTGCAGGTTGCTTCATATATCATCACAGGTACCTAAACAGATGTTGGAATTTCCTGTTCTTCCTTGGGGTAAGATTTCTAGTTTCCTTACGCTCTTTTCTTTCGTGATGTGCTTTGTGGAGGTTTTGTTTATTCACCATTTCGCGTTGTTACACCGCTATTGCAGCATCTCAGTTAATTGAAAGAAAGCACTGGTACTAATTCAGTTTATTCCTCTTAATTGCAGTTAAGTTTGTAACAGGATGCGATGAAGAGTTTATTCTTGATACTGTCACAGGCATTCTTAAGCACGTTTTCGACGCTTCTCGCTAGATAGGACTTCTGAACAGAGCAGCTAATATGGTGTGGTACGTTAAGTACGATTTCATTGAAAGCTTTCTTCGTTTCTTTGTGCAAACAAGATGCAAAACCACTTTGGATGCAATTCTTGTGCTGGTAAATCTTTCAATTTACATCTGGTTGACAAACTTGAAGATTTCTTGTGTTGGAATCCAATACCAAATTACCAATAGGAGTATTTAAGGGATGGGAACACTTCTAGTAAGTAGTCTCAAACAATTTCCGACTGATTTATATAATATGAGTATTCCATTATGATGATATTGGTGCCAATAAAATAAAAATATGTGAGCATTTTTGTTCAAATATTTTTTTTTTATTGACAAAAAAGTCACGTGCAATGCCAACATGATCCTCTTCGGATCCTTTTAGTGACGGAGATGATCCTGGAGATTCGTGAATCATGTCGTTTATCATGCATCGTGCGATTAGTTTTTGTCAAGTACTGTTTGTGTTTAATTTTAAATAAAAATATTTATAATAATCTCTGATCACACGATGTATAATGAACGAACACGATTTACAAATCTTCGGAAATCTTCCCAAAGAGAATCCAACAAGATTCTGGATTCGAATGCCAACAGACAAAAAAACTCAAATATGATACGACGCAAAGTTTTGGACTTGTTGGATGATATGACAGAAAGTAGTGGATTTGTTGAGCGGCCAATCCAATCCAGAAAGGCGAGTCTCTCGACTGTGGACTTGCGGGAGAAGCAAAGAGTGTGGAGTGAGAGAAAAGCGACCGGGCTGTCAGAGTTTCTTTTCGGGCATTCCGAGAACAAAATAAGAGGATAAAAAAAAAAAGCCCGAAAAAGGAGAGGGAGAGAGAGAGAGGCGGGGATGGATGTGGTGACATTCGGCATTATAATCGGCATAATCGTCCTCTTTTTTGTTGCTGTTGTTGTCATGACCATCGAAGGCACTTGCAAGCGCCGTCCTTCTTAAGCCCTCCCTCCCGACAAAACAGACTTCAACTCCTCCACCAACACCGACCTTAAATTCGATAATTACAATAAAACCCGACCTTAACACACAACTGGGGTTTCTCAGAAAATGGCGCTTTGTAAGAAAGGTTTCGTCTTGGTTGCTGTTGCTTTGGTTGTTGGGCGCTGTTCGGATCTGAGTTTTGCTTCTGGGTTCTCTGCATCTGCCGCTCACGAGCGTCACACTCACCACCACGGCTGCAGCAATGCGCACCACCACGACCACGGTCACGGTCACAGCAGCGGCCACAGCCACAGCCACAGCCACGGCCACCAAGAGGACAGATTGTTAGCGACATCGAAGCTTCCCGAGGAATTGGCGGAGGAGGAGGACATGAAGTTGTACGGATTTGAATTTCATCAGCACGATCACGTCACGATCACGAGCATTTTGGTGCTCCGCAGCTCTCGGTTCTTGGTATTTCTTCGAAATTGTGTATAATGTGTGAGGCACTTTATTGGTTTAATTTTCGTTATACTGCTTGATTGCTTCGAATGTGGACTGAACGAATTGAAATTTTTGAAGAGGCCAATTGGAGAGAACAAAAGCTGGGAAATTTTCGTTTTGGTATTGATAGAATTGGCGAAAAGCACAATGCTTATTTGGTTTGTAATCTGATTTGACCGTCGAAAGTGCGAAATCTGTGTTGCTGAATTAGCCATAACACAAGATTCAGTCCTTTTAAAAATCCTTTGTTTTATTTTGCTCCAAATCCGATTGTGTGTTTCTTCTTCGCTGCACCTAAAGTTTGTGTCATACAAAATAAGCTGATCTCGAATGTGTGAGTCTGTAACCGCATTCTTATTTATCTTTTATAGGTCTCTGGATTCATTCCTTGGGGTGCTCGCTTTTGGTGAGCATGGCCTCCCTCATTTGCCTGATTATCTTGCCAGTGATATTTGGTAAGTGATTCAATTGTTACTTACATTGTCTTTTTATTGACGCTGCCGATGACTTTTGCTTCAAGAAGCCTATGCCGATAACCAGGACTGAATTTACTGCTTTATTGCAGTGCAGGGGAAGCCATCCAAGGCAGTTGTTGATTCATTGGCTTTATTTGGGGTCAGATTCTGCAGACCTGTTTATCTAGTTTTAAAATCTAATCCAATTGTATATGGTTTGCATCTCTTTAGTACCAATTTGATATGTATACTCTTCAGTTTTCTTGTATCCGTGTTAAGATCATCATCAATTCAAATACCCAATTTAGGCTTTAGGAATTATGCCTCTATAAGTTTACAGAACTTTGACCATTGGAGTAGATTGTTGGAGCATGTGGATGGGAATGGGAATTTGACAATCTAATTTGTACTTCATTTGCAGGCTGGAGCAATGTTGGGGGATGCTTTTCTTCATCAATTACCACATGCTTTTGGTATGACAATAATCTGGAACTAGTTTATGAAGCCTGCGTTGATTTGCATCTTTCAGTTCATCCTTACACTGTACAAATCTATACCATATAATCTTCTACACCTGATATAATCTGATGTTTCAAGTATTTAATTATTTCTTAAGTTCTTATATCTTAATTTGCGAAGAGCATATAACGATCCATCTTTAAAAAAGTAGTTTTAAATTATGACAATGTGTAAGTGAACTCTTCAATTTCCTTAATTAAAAATGTATAATTTCTTAATAAATGATAATGTGTAAGATGCTTGTCTTTTACATTTATCAGCAGTTCACCCAGAATCTTATATTAATTGCAGGAGGAGGGCACTCCGACTCGCATGACCACCATGAAGGCCATTCCCATTCCCATTTGCATGAGCATTCACATTCGCATTCTTTGGAGATCTTTCAGTAGGATTATCTGTCCTGGGTTAGTTCTAATCTGTGTTCTGCATGCTGTCTTAACCATGCTTCGTGTCTGCATGAATTTGTGTTTGTGTGGTTGTCCGAGAGCAGGTGCATGTGATGTATGTTTCTGTGTGCATGAATGTTCTATGTGCACATCACTTCTTCCATACGACTCCATAGGCTGTAACCCCTTCTTTTGTTTCCTAGTGTTTTTGGTTTCCTTGAGCTTGTTATTGTACCCGATTATTGTAAGGTTCTTCCTGATTGGTTTTAGTTGAATTTTAATAGTACTGTATTGGTTGTTGCAGCGGGAATTGTATTATTTCTTCTGGTAGAAAAGACAGTGAGGTATGTTGAGGAAAACTCTGGAGGAACTAATGCATGGAGTCATGGTCATCATCATCATCATCATAAGAACAGCAAGAAATTGAAGGATGATAATGATTCTCATGATGACTTGCAGTCAGAATCTTCTAATGGAAACGATGGAAGGAAACTGAAGAAGTCATCTGACGGAGAAGTTACTAGCTGATGATTTAAATGATTCTTTGATTGAAAGTACTCAACAGGACTCTCATATTCATAAGGCAAGCAGTTTAGTTGGCTTGTTGGTTTTTCAGAGAGTTTGTGTTCATCTTTGTTTAATGTCGGCACAGGCTTGACATCTGCTGGCTTATATGGTTATATTAATCTTGCATGAATCTTACTATTATCTGATTTTTGTGGCCAATCTAATTTTGTTAATCAACTTTTAATACTGGACTGCAATTTAAGTATGGTCATATTTCCATCATGCAGAGAAACACTAGGACTGGTGGGAGCGATGATAAACAACATATACATGCCACAAATGATTCCACTTCTGAGGCCAAGTCCACAAAAGGGAAAACTACTCAATCACCCTCAAATCTTGTGTTCGGCTATCTCAATCTCTTCTCGGATGGTGTTGTATGTGACTTATTGCTTGCTTTCAAGCTTGTATATCTTTAACCAAAATGTGGTTCATGATAGATATTATTTACAGAAATATTTGTATTGCCACTGCAGCACAATTTTACGGATGGGATGGCTTTAGGAAGTGCATTCCTGCTTCATGGATCTGTTGGTGGGTGGTCTAGAACTCTGTTCTTGCTCGCACATGAGATTCCTCAAGAGGTTTGAGTCCTCTCTGTTGTTCGTTAATATGTAATGAGGTAGTCTAGATAGGCGGGCTGGCTAAACAGTCACATCCAATCTGAGTCTTGTTGTCTTAGTTCTTGGAGGTATATAACTTTATAGCTTGTTTTACCTTTGTTTCAGGTCGGTGATTTTGGTATTCTTGTAAGGTCTGGTTTCAGCGTATCTAAAGCTCTGTTCTTCAACTTTCTCTCAGCACTTGTGGCACTACTTGGAACCGCAGTGGTAAAGTATTGTCTTTGTTGTAGGGTTATTCCATTTTAGTTAGTATCTTCGATAATTGAAATGAGAGTAATCCATTGCTATTGATGCAGGCTCTTATTTTGGGACAGAATGCAGGACAGTCATCTTTGATTGAGGTGACAATAATGTAGCCTGGGAATGTTCTGGTTAAATATTCGGTTCATATTTGGCTTTCGTGATCCAAGTAGTTATCTTTATACTTTGTTGAATCTATTTTCAGGGTTTTACAGCTGGTGGATTTATATACATTGCTGTTGCTGGAGTGCTTGCTGAAGCGAACAACAATGGCGGCTCATCATTGAAAAGCACGGCTTTACAGTTAACTGCATTGATACTTGGCATGGGAGTTGCCCTATGTATATCACTTTTTGAATGAAACTTTGTTTAGAAACCGGAGCACGACTATCCAAATGTACTGCACAGGCATCAGGGTTTTACAGCTGATAATTGTGCGGTGAATGTGGATAAGGGACGGGAAGACAGAGAAGATGAAGGTGGTTAACCTTGCCGCGGTATTATTCTGGAAACTCTCAAGGGTGATACCATAGCGGACAACTCTCCAAGGAAGACGGTGAACTTGCTCTTTTTTACTCCCCTGTTTAGGAGATTACAGTTTCTTCATGTCCTTTTCCTTTCAGATACTATATATAGGACGTGATTTTTGCAATGAAAGAGAAGAAGTTATCATATGCTATGCCCCTTCCTTTAAAATAGGAAACTGATTTCTGCAATCCCTTTTCTCCTCCTGCACACCTTCTGTTTTGTTTGGTCCTCGGATTGAATAAAACCAAAGAAAATCAATGGAGAAAGTTAAAAGAGTCTCTCAGAGAGGTGAGCAAGTGTGCGAAAATCACTTTTCCTAAAATAAGTGAGAAAAACTAGACGATTCTATGAACGTGTCAATGAAATCATAAATAGTCCAAGCTTGGGCTAACTAGAAGCTACAACATATGTGATATCAAGAGGATCTTCTCATCACTGAATAAAAACGAAAGCTGGGTTTAATTTCGTTCAAGAGTCGAACTTGTCGAACTGCTGGAGCATTTGAAAGACGGTGATGCTCTGCGTTGGGAGAGAAGGAAGAGGTGGCATCCTTCTCAGAGGTGATATCATATGGTCGCCGCGGGTGAGTGTGTGGTGGTGCCTTTTACGCACTGCTCGAACAGGAGGTGGCGTTGCCACTGCCGCTACCGTCTGATTCATTAATCCTTGATTGCTATAAGCTGCTCCAGGCGCAGATGATGCTTCTGTCCTCTTACGCATGCTATTGCTCTCTGAAAGCCTTTTTTCCTTCCTCCCTCCTCCCTGTAAATGCATTTTACGTGAGACAAAATCAATCTGCATATATAACACTGCCAGAGGTTAAATATACGCCTCAAGTTTTTACTACTAATTGTATTGAAATTCCATTCAGTCCATGTATTCGAGCAACAAAATAACATCAAGATCTACACACACACACACACATATATATATATATATATATATGAAAAGGCAATGACTGGAGGAAGAAACGTTTTAGCTTGGACCGTCTCTCACTTACAAGTGAGGAGAAATGTTACCAGATTGTAATGCTACTGACTGAGATGAGGACGTGTTCATTGCGAAATTTTACAGACAAAAGCAGAAAAGGCATATATAAGGTGAAAATGTCTTGTAAGAAGGAATGAAACATCTATCAGATTACTTGCTCACATTAATGACAGAAGAGTCGGGCATCGGGCATTTGACAGGGCGATCCTCATCAGGTGGCTCAAGAGGATGTTCCACCGGCCAAAACTCGACGTCGACTTCAACCTGCATATGATGGTCAGGATTATGAACATTCATGCACCTGCTGCTTCTGTGTTGATTCTCCCTCGTTTCATATAAAAGTGGAGCTTCGCCTTCCTTTCCGTCCTAATTAAACATTCATGTTAATGAGTACTACTCAAGGAAAAGATAGAAAAGGGAAGTGATTTCTGCACACTAAACAAGTCTGGGCAGGAGGAGAAAATGAGTGCGGATCGAAACCATTACCCATGGAAAAGTGTATGTGTGGCGAGAGAAAGAGAGGACTTACAAAATCATCCTCACATGAAAATCCCATAGAGATGTAGTTCATAGTAGTGTTGTTGCATGCCAGAAGCTGAGAAAATTTTAGAGAGAGAGAGAGAGAGAGAGAGAGAGAGGAAAATATAGGAAAGAGAAAGCTGAGGCGCATGAAAAGGAGGAGTAAAAGAGAGAGAGGTGGCGGTATGGGATGATTTTGCACAGTGGAATGAAGATTCCCACCATTTTCGTCTTTTTGGATTTACTGAGCTACTTTAGTTGAACCCTTTTTTCTTTTCTTTATTGGGTTTGGGACCTGCCCTTAATTGCAGCTATCTTTCTCTTTTTTTCTTCCTTTCACTTTGTTGCTTTTAGGGACATTTTCTACTGTAGTAACTCTATGCAGCTTGCTTGATTAAAAATATGACCTTACTTTCTGCTTTTCATTGGTTTGCAGAACTTAAGCAGCTAGCCAGCAAATGCATGAGAGAGAGAGTGAGAGAGAGAGGAGAGAGAGAGAGAGAGAGATGTGGCTATAGAATAGTAGGAGGAATGAAAGCTAAGAATGCAGGCTCATACTCACCCAAACACGTTCACACTGACCCAAATTTTAAGACACTTTATTTTTGTAGGTGCTTAATTTGTTCATTCAACGCAAATTGCAATACATAATACTTTATGCAGTACCCTACACAAAAGCAATCAGCATTATGCTCCGTAGTTTTCTAAAGTTACCAAAAAATTACTATTTGTTCTCCACAAGACACAGCGTATCTACAACCTGATCATTAGAAGATTTTGTTGTCTCATCTAGTAGTCTTAATCATATATCATATATAGTTTGTCAAAATATGCTTAAAAGTTGTTATTATTGCTTTGACGACTTGTTTCAACATGCGTGCCAAACTAAAATTGTAAGTCATATTGCTTACAGTTCTTGAAAGAAATTTAATTTTTCAATTTTTTTAGATCTTACAATTTGTCGATTTCAACAAGTATTATTGAATTTTTATGATGAAGCAGCTTATAAAAAACATGTAGACAAACAAAACTGATTATATTAGAAACCTCCTCTCTCTAACTACAATCATTGTCTTAACCTATATGAGAGATGTGGTCAATTTGGTATGTATAAGCAACATTATCGTTTATAAGTGAGTTTGTTTAGCATGGACGCAATATAGACCAACATATGTGACCGTTAAATCTTTAATTATTGAATACTTGACTCCCGTTATTGAGCTGGCCATTCTAAAAATTTTCGGTGTTTGAGTATATGAACACAACTCTCTTAATGGATCCTTTCTGGCATATTGGTGTATATAGTATATCTCCTAAAAATAGAAACGCGTTAATTAACTTGTGACAAGCATAACAAACCTTTGGAACAAGTCCAACAAAAGCAAATACATCTAGATGTATTTATCTTTCTTATTCATGTTGAAAAAAATAACAGCCAGCCAATGCTGCTCTTCTGTTCGTTGAGATTCCATCACTCGTTTTATTTGGAAAATCACTCAAAAAATATTTTATTCCCAATTTATTCACCTCCCAAATATAGCCACAGGCTGTCTGTCCAATTGGAAAAACAAACAAAAACAATGTAATTAGAGAGCTAAAATAAGGGAAAGGAGGGTTTGCATGAGAAAGTGCTGGTGACAAGTTAGAATTAGAGAGAGAGAGAGAGAGAGGAGGGAAATGAAACTGTGGAAAAAGGCTGCCGGGCTAATCAAAGACCGGAACAGCATCTGGGTGGCCACCATCTCACGGCGGACGTCGTTCCGCAACCCCGATTTGGAGGCCATCATCATCAAAGCCACCAGCCACGACGAGGCCACCGTCGATTACAAGAATTTCCACAGGGTGTACCAATGGGTCCGCACGTCTCCGCTCTACCTCAAGCCCCTCCTTTACGCGCTCTCCAGGCGCATGGAGAAAACTCACTCTTGGGTCGTCGCTCTCAAAGGCCTAATGCTCATGCACGGCATTTTCTGCTGCAAAATCCTCTCCGTCCAAAAGATCGGCCGGCTGCCGTTCGACCTTTCCAACTTCTGCGACAAACATTCTAAGCCCAGCAAGACGTGGGCGTACGACGCGTTTGTCCGCGCTTATTTTACGTACTTGGATCAGAGATCCGCATTTTTAAGCACGTTGGTGAAGAAGAACAACAGCAAGTCCGACCAGGAGGAGCCGCCGCTGCTGGAGGAGCTCGGGCGACTGCAAAAGTGGCAGTCGTTGCTCGACATGCTTCTCGAGATCAAGCCGGAAGCGATTAGTCCGCATCGCACTAATAATCACACATACAATAACAACAAGGTTTATCTTATTTCCGAAGCAATGATATGTTTGCTGACGGAGATCTTTGACGTGTACAGCAGAGTCTGCAAAGCGATTGCCGGCGCGCTGCTGAGGATTTACACGGCCCCAGGCAAGCAGGAGGCGCAGATGGCGCTCGGGGTGGTTCAGAAGGCGGGGGTTCAAGGGGAGGAGCTCTCATTGTACCTCGAATACTGCATGGATATGGGGATCCTCAGCGCGGCGGATTGTCCTAAAGTCGAACAGATCCCGGAAGAGGATATCAGAGACCTCGAACGGATAATCAACCAAGCGTCGAAAAGGAAGGAAAGCTTCGTGGAATGCGACCGGATGGCGGCGGCGCAGATGGAGGAGGACAAAGCGATCGTGCCATGCAGAAACCGACGAAGAAATCCAAGACGATAATTACGGACAAATGGGAGGTGTTTGAAGAGGATTTGATCAGCTGGGTGAGCGCAGATACATCTGGATTCTCCGATGTGAGCGGATACAGCTACAATACTACGAGCAGTAGTGCTATCGGTGTCGGGGGACAAGGACAATATAGAAACCCTTTTGCGCCGTCGTCAAAAAATATAATACCGTATCATCATCCTGTACCTACTGCATATAACCACCAAGTTCTTCCAGATTTGATTAGTTTCTGACGATAACTATTGTTTTTGATGTTTTTGTTGGAATAAAAAAATGTCGGACAGCGTTTGATTAATTCCCTTGCTCCCCAGCGCAGCTTAATTCATCATCATATTCTCCCAATTTTTGTGGATCTTATATTCTTCCCCCTTGGGCCTTACTGATATTCATTTTAGATTAATTTTTTGAGCCTGATTTCTTCGTCATTCTTTTTTGTTTTACTTGTTAATCATCATATTAATTTGATCAATTACTAGTACGTATGTGCAAGTATGCCAACTGTGAATTGTTAGCTGGAATATATCCTATATTACACTAATTTCTTCCTGAGTTGTTTTTATTATATTCAGACATTTGCCGGAATTTATGAAAATACAAATTTCAATTTTTTCTTGTGTTTCTTTCTTTTATTTTGTTGTGCTTCTATTATTGATAAAAAAAAAAAAATGTGTGAAGGACCGGGCGAGAGATTTTTGAGTGCAATGGTTTTACCCTTTCAAAAAACAATCTGCAACAGGGAAAAAAAAAAAAAAAAAGAACCTGAAGAAATTGGCAATATTTGATCTCGATTTGGTTTTGTTGACCAAATTTGGGTCATTGAAATTCACTTTCCGAACTTTAGAAAACTTAGTGCTGTACTTTAACAAAGGTATGAAATTGAAAAAAAAATAGAAATAAATGTATGATATTGAAATGTTATAAAAAATTTGTATGAGGTTGTAATTGACCCCCTTTATTAGTTTATATATATATATATATTTATTTATATTTATATTTTAACTTTAGTTTTGTTCCCCAAGAGGTATAAAAATGCTCTCCTCGTCCCAAGCTTCGTGTTGATACCTCTTGTGCGTAAAATGGTTGAGAAATGACTCAGTTGTGTTATTTTAAAATTTTCTGACAAAAATCCAATTCTTGTGCAAACTCGGGGAAACTAAGTTTTGGTGCACTAATTATTATTAGTTTAGTGATTAGTGTAATAATTTCCCGTATAGGAGATGATCACCCGGAGGAGTATTGCGAGCAAAATAGTTTAATTTTGGGACCTAATAAATTGTAAGATCACACCCAAAGGTCTTGCAACATTTTCCTTAACTTCCACGCAAAATATTTTGTAAAACTAAAAGTTTTAATTCTTTTCACAACAAATGTGATTTTAACCCACATTTTCAATCAGTTTCGAAATTTATGGAAGATTCATTTTAATCAGAAATTCGAGTCATTCTTGTCACACCCTAAGATTAATTTTATGACATTCCGAATATTTTCAACACAAAAATTATATTATGAGTGTCCTCTATTAGTTCACATTATTTCTTCTATTTTTCAATGTTAAAAATCAATAAAAAAACAATTTCGAGACCTAATAAATGGTAAGATCACATCCAAATGTCTTGCAATATTTTCTTTAACTTCCATGCAAAATATTTTGTAACATCCCATATCGACCAACGGAGAGGGGGTGATGTGCCTTATATGTACATGCCCACCTCCATATAGCACGAGGTCTTTTGGGAGCTCACTGGCTTCGGGTTCCGTAGGAACTCCGAAGTTAAGCAAGTTTGCACGAAAACAATCCTTGGATGGGTGATCCATTGGGAAGTTCTCATGTAAGTTCCTAGAAACAAAATTGTAAGGGTGTGTTCGGGGCCCAAAGCGAATAATATCGTGCTACGGTAGAGTCGAGCTCGAGATGTGGTGGGGGTTCAGGCCGAGATGTGACAATTTGGTATCAGAGCCACTTTGCCGTGTAGTGCGAGTGTGTCGACGAGGACGTCGGGCCCCTAAGGAGGGTGGATTGTAACATCCCACATCGACCAACGGAGAGGGGGTGATGTGCCTTATATGTACATGCCCACCTCCATATAGCACGAGGCATTTTGGGAGCTCACTGGCTTCGGGTTCCGTAAGAATTCTGAAGTTAAGCGAGTTCATATGAGAGCAATCCCAGAATGGGTGACCCATTGGGAAGTTCTAGTGTGAGTTCCTAGAAACAAAATCGTGAGGGTGTGGTTGGGACCCAAAGCAGACAATATCGTGTTACGGTGGAGTCGAGCACGGAATGTGGTGGGGGCCTGGGCCAAGATGCGACATATTTGCTACACTTAAAATTTCTAATTGATTTTAAGAATTTTTGCAAGATTCATTAGAAGTCAAAATTTGAGTCATTCTAATCGTAACACATGTTTCCTAAAATTAATTCAGGACATTCTAAAATTTTTCAACATATAAAATATATTTGGGAGACCCCTTATTAGTTTATATTTTTTTTTTTCAAATTTAAAAATCAATAAAAGATAATTTCGGGACCTAATTAATGGTAGGATCACATCCACACATCTTGCAACGTTTTCCTTCACACCCACACAAAATATTTCCTAAAACTAAAAATTTGAATTTTTTCACAAAAACTGTGAGTTATACGTTTCCCATCTATTTTGAGAATTTTTACAAGATTTATCATAAGCAAAATTTTGAGTCATTCTAATCGCACCACATGTTTTAAAAAATAATTAGGATATAATAAATGGTAGGATCACATCCAAAGCTCTTGTAACATTTTTCTTAACTTCCACACAAAATATTTCCTAAAACTAAAAATTTCAATTTTTTTTCACAAAAACTGTGGATCACGGTTTTCCATTCGATTTTGAGAATTTATACAAGATTCATTATAAGCAAAATTTGAGTCATTCGATCGTCGCATCACATGTTTCCTAAAATTAATTTAGACCATTCCGAATATTTTTCGTGTCATAAGATTATACTTGGGAGACCCCCTATTAGTTTATATTATTTTAAAAAAAATCAACTTTAAAATTCAATAAAAAATAATTTCGAGACCTAATTAATGTTAGGATCACATCCACATGTCTTGCAAAGTTTTCCTTCATGCCCACGCAAATATTTCCTAAAACTAAAAATTTGTAATTTTTACACAAAAACTGTGAGTTATATATATATAACCTACGTTTCCAATCGATTGTGAGAATTTTAACAAGATTTATGATAAGCCAAAATTTGAGTCATTCTTGTCACATCCTGGCCCGAGCCCTCACCACATCCCGAACTCGACTCCATCATAGCATGATATTGTCCGTTTTGGGCCCCGACCACGCCTTCACGGTTTTGTTTCTGAGAACTCACACGAGAACTTCCCAGTGGGTCACCCATCATGGGATTGCTCTCGCGCGCTACTCGCTTAACTTTGGAGTTTTGATGGAACCCGCAGTGAGCTCCCAAAAGGCCTCTTGCTAGGTAGAGAAGGGAATATACATATAAGGCATAGAGGATCTACTCCCCTGGGCGATGTGGGATGTTACAATTCACCCCCCTTAGGGGCCCGACGTCCTCGTCGGCACACATCCGACCATGGATTGGCTCTGATACCAAATTGTCACATCCCGGCCCGAGCCCCCACCACATCCTGGACTCGACTCCACCATAGCACGATATTGTCCGCTTTGGGCCCCGACCATGCCCTCACGGTTTTGTTTTCTGGGAACTCACATGAGAACTTCCCAATGGGTCACCCATCATGAGATTGCTCTCGCGCGCTACTCGCTTAACTTCGGAGTTCCGACGGAACCCCAAGCCAGTGAGCTCTCGAAAGGCCTCGTGCTAGGTAGAGAAGGGAATATACATATAAGGCATAGAAGATTCACTCCTCTAAGCGATGTGGGATGTTACAATTCTAATCGCACCACATGTTTTCCAAAATTAATTTAGGATATTCTGAAGATTTTCGACACCTACAAATCTCTTTGGGCGCCCCGCTATTAGTTCATATTATTTTTATCTATTTGTCAATGTTAAAAATCAACAAAAAATAGTTCCCCACCTAATAAATGGTATGATCACATCTAAAGGTCTTGTAACATTTTACTTTTTTTTAGTACAATGATATATTTTACACTAAGGGGAGGGGGAAGTTCGGCTAAGCCACATAATAGACAACCTAATTAGGTATCGAATTCGTCATCCACGAGATTCAAACCTAAAACTTTTCACTGCCAAAATATTTTTTAAAACTAAAAGTTTCAATTTGTTTCACAAAAACTATGAATTATAACCAACGTTTCCAATTGATTTTGAGAATTTATACAAGATTTATTTTAAGCCAAACTTTGAGTCATTCTCATCACAACACATGTTTCTTAAAATTAATTTAGCATTCCGAAGATTTTGGACACATAAAATTATATTTGGGAGACCCCTATTAGTTTATTTTTTAATTATTTTTTCAACTTTAAAAATCAATAAAAAATAATTTTGGGACCTAATAAATTGTAAGATCACGTCCAAAGGTTGTGAAACATTTTCCTTTACACCTCACAAAATATTTCCTAAAACTGAAAGTTTCAAATTTTTCACAAAATTTATGAGTTATAACCCATGTTTTGCAATCAATTTTGAGAATTTTAACAAGATTCATAATAAGCCAAAATTCGATTTATTTTAATCGCACCACATGTTTTCTAATTTAATTTAAGACATTCTAAAGATTTTCGATACCTACAAATCTCTTTGGAGGCCCACTATTAGTTTACATTATTTTTTTTCTATTTTTTCAGATTTGGAAATTAATTAAAATAATTTAGGGACTAATACATGGTATGATCACATTCAAAGGTCTTGCTACATTTTCCTTAACTCCGCAAATATTGCTGAAACTAAAATTTTCAACTTTTGCACATAAATTATAAGTTATAGCCCACATTTTCCAATTGAAGAGAATTTATACAAGATTCATTACAAGCCAAAATTCGAGTCATCCTCGTCCCATCACATGTTTCCTAAGATTGATTTTAAGACACTCCAGACATTTTCGACACAAATTAATTTAGAACATTCCGAAGATTTTCGACACCTAGCTTCTGTCAATTCTCTAATGATTATTCCTCCCGTATTAGACTCTAAATCCGTTTCCTAAGCAACCGTCACTTCTCTAATGACTATTTCTCTCGTACAAAACTATATCAAACATTTTCCTCTCGAAGCGAAAACATACAGGATGTACGAGTACAACACTTGAAAACACAAATGCTGCAACTATGTAGATTCTTAAATCCCCATGCTAAATCTAGTCATTTCTCTAATGACTATTTCTTTCATACAAAACCTGTATCAAGCATGTTCCTCTCGGAGCGAAAACATACCAAATCTACGAGTACAACACTTGAAAACACAAGTACTGCAGCTTCTCAAACAAGGCAAACCCAAGATTATAAACAAAAAAACGGAACAAGCATGACTTTCACAGCATAGATACATATATGCATCAAAAGGTGCCACGATCTTTCTATATATCCATAACTAGTAAGTAGCATGCTACACGATATAGAACTCGGTCGTTATAAGCCAGAGAAGCAATGCACATTGAACATACTACTTTTGAATACAACAGAGGAATACAAAAAACAAGCATTCAGTGCAAAATATTGCGAGCATTAGATTAAACGGAGATTGAATGCTATCCAACAACAATTCAATAAATAACAACTCATCCACATAATCCTGGTGGCCAGAAAAGTCGGCCCTTAAACAGAAGCCGAAAGGAAAAAAAATTAACAAAAAGAACAAGTCCAGATTTTAAAAACAAGTATCATCCGTCCTGACTGAAAATTGAATGACTACAAATTATCTGAAAGATCTCTACAAGAGGCCACATAAATATATACAGCTGAAATAGACCAAATGCAATGGAAGTCACACCAACACAGTAACTCTACCTGAGAGTGACGAACTTGTTGGTACCATGTTTTGCCCAATGAGACCTTAGATCAATTGGGTTAGTAAAATTATAACCTTCAGCTGCAAGCTTCTCCAACACCTTCTTGAAAGCACCCTGACTCATTTTTCTTCCAGCTATTCTTGCCCCGCGTCGCTTAGTACTCATTGGCAGAGGATACATAGATACATTTGTGGTGCAACAAGCAGATTGCCAACCACCACACCCCCACCTATAACACTGTTGTGGAGCTCCAGTGCATGAGCAGATGGGAATTGGAATACCAGAGATATCCATATTAATCCCGTTAATCACAACATCCAAACTCTTCTTTGCTGGCTTCACACGAGGAACTGAAGGATTGGTATTATCCTTTGCCTTCCTGGGCTTTTTCACTTTTGGGGCTTTTGGTGCACCCCCACCCTGTCTTTTTTTGGATGTGCCAACTTCCTTAGGGACAACTGGCTCTTCAATCCTACCCACCCTTTCATCCCTTGATGGTTCCGGCGGCTGTAAGATCTGCAAGGAATGGGCTCCTGAAGTTTCTGGAAGAACAGCAGCATAGTTAGGATTGGCAGGCATCATATTGAGAAACTTATCTCTCTGGTTTACCCAACTCTCCCTCATATAGCTCATTGGAAGCTGAGCATCTGATACAACACAATCCCGAGGGTGATAGGCTCCATTGGCGCTAACCATGACTGTAGGGTCACGCCCAGGGACAAATGGTTTAGTGTCGCGCTCTGCCATGCTTGACATGAGCTGCAAGCTAAGATGACCCTTAAAAGATGGCTCATAGTAGCCCCAGTTGCGCATGTTCAATGCATCATCATCCATGAGAGCTACAGAATCAGCAGACAAACAAACATCGTTTAGGCCTTCTAATGAAACTCCATGAACAGCAATAAATCTTACCATCGGATAGCCCTCCGAGGCCATAGAAATCGAAAACAAAAGGATAGCAATAAAAACAAAACAGATACAAAGGGAGAAACAAAGCATAGCTCAAGATAATCACAAATGAGGGCCTATGAGGCAAAATTGTAAACAATATCATCTGCAAAATATTGGATCTTCACATTAAATCAAAGATCAAGCAATTGTTTGACAGCTGAGAACAAGAAGGAAATTACAAATTCACAAATCTTATCGATCCTTCCTAATCCCCATACTCTCAGATCTAAAAGATCAAAAATTTAAGATGCAAACATGCAATTGGTAACTAGTATGCACATATTCTCATCCAATGGGTTAGTTCTAAAGATTTGAAACATCCTTCCAATCCGAATCAATAAACATGCGAATCCCAGGATAAAAAATTCTGTGCATTTCCTACAGTTTCTCAGCAACCAAACAGAACCCAAGTAAACAGACCAACACCCAGATCTGAATTTCCATCCAAAATCAAATACAACAAATTAGGGTTTCGTAATCTGAGAAGTTGGGATCTGAGATTTGGGTATTACAAGGAGAAAAATAACAAATTCATAATAAAGTTTGAAGCTTTTAAATATACAAACATGCACAAGAATGTAAATGGCAGGATAATAGTACAAGGACCCATATATTCAAATTTTAGATAGAGAAAGAGAGACAGTGAGAGAGGAGAGAGGAGAGAGGAGAGAGAAAACTTACTTAGGTGGGTGTAAACGGCTCTTTAGGGTTTTGCCCTTCTGGAGAGAGAGAGAGAGAGAGAGAGAGAGAGAGAGGAGAGAGGAGAGAGAAACCTGAGAGAGAGAGAGAGAGAGAGAGAGAAACTTATGAGATAGAGAGAGGAAAGAGGAAAGAGGAGAGGAGAGAGGAGAGAGGGGAGAGAGAGACAGAAAGAAAACCTAGAAATGGGGTATCCATCAAACTTATAGCTGTCACTTTAAAATAAGGAAATATATAAAGGCCTCATGAATAAATAAATTAATTAAATTTGATATAACTTATGCTTTTTTATGTTCGGTCAAAAATAATAAATATGATGTATATTATATCTTATGTTGAATTGAACAGCCCCAAATCTTATCCTCTCTCTACTTATTTTCGCTTTGTTTAAACAAATATTTTATCGAGTTTAGGAGGTGGACTTGTAACTAAGCGGGGAAATTAAAGCAATTAATTGTATAAAAAGTTTGAGTTGTGCTATAAATTTACAGACCTATTTGATACAGGAAGTTAACTAATATGTTGAATTTAGCAAAAAATTTTGAAAGTTTTCAAAGATATATTTTTTTAAAAAATCAAACTTTTCTTTTGGTATATCCACAGCTTTGGAATGTTGACATACATATGGAAAAAGTTTGGTGGAAACTAATTACCTACTCTAGTGATAGATTTATTTAAAATAAAAGAAGTCATGAATTAGAAAAATACTTGGTTTGTCTAATATCGAGCTACCAAGTATAATATTGTTTGAAGAAAAAGGAATAAGATTATTGATTAATGTGAGAGATACTTTTTTTTCGATGTGTTAGCAACTTAGCAATGACATCGAAAAAAAAAAAACTGATACCAATTCACAACATACTCATTATTAGTAAGTAAAGGAACTCAAATGTGTTAACTAATCAAGTCATTTCTTTTCATATATTGTATGAAAAAATTTAATTAGATTTTGAACCGAATACGCATGTAATATTTTATATATAACAACATTGCCATAAACAATATAGATAATATTGGGCTTAAAAATAGGCAAAAATGAAGCCCAAAACCACACAAGACCAAACTCAGAACATAATTGGGCCTTAGCAGCCCGGAAGAGTGAAGACCATTAAGCTGAAGACGACGAGGGAGGGGCCCAGTGTAGCGAAAGCTCTTAAAAAATGACAGCAACTCACACCTTGATAGCATATTTGTTACTGTAGTACTAACGGGCATGCCTTGTCAAATGTTGCCCACCTAGGCATCTCTCTTGCTATTAATTGTTTCAGGTACTGAGAACATAAGTCACGTAATGTATCATTATTTGTTATAATAATTGTAGGTGATAATTTGACTGAAACAATATCACTCGATTGAGTTTTAAGTACACAAAAAAATTACCAAGCCAACAAATTAATTTATGAATTATAATTGTTAGGGTAGTTAGGAAAGAACTTTTGCGTTCGTCCCGATCCCTAGTTAATATATAACAATCACATGCATAAATCCCAGGTGAGCATAGAAATTGGCGGAAGTCATACACCAATGGTGAAACGCTTTGCGTTGTCGAAAGCATGCTTCCTTTAATTTATTGCAAATGTCGCCGCGACGGAATTGGCAACCCTAATTTCGAAAATATATCATGCAGATGAGCTGATGAAAGGGCTCTTTTGGGTTGCTCCATTCCCCAATTTTATTTCCAGGCACAAATCTCGTGCATGATCTAGTTGCAGTACATCTAAACTAGTTTAATTACTTCCTTAAACGATCAAGGACCTCCTATAATAATATGTTAATGAGATTGCTCTGTAATGCTTCTTCTTCGTTTTCATATATACATATGCCTATATAAACTTCGTTTGTTGCCTAATCCTGATTAGCACATCAATGGCGTCCCATTTGGACTTAAGTGGGTGCAAGAAGAGGAAGAGATGGTGTTTAGGTTTAGGAGTTTCGGCGAAAACGAGTATCCGGTAGGGTTAGTTGGATCGTCGTTTAGGGAAAATGTGAAGGCTCTCCTTGAATATGGGCAGGTTGAGGGTAACCTAGCTGGCCATGGCATGCACTGCTGGTCGTTTCAGCTACAAGTTCATAGCCATGCTCCTGCCCATGTCGTGCTCCTTGTCGTCGAAGAACCTATCGAGGCATCACTGAATCGACATTGCAAGGAATGTCAAGACGTCGGTAAAGTTTCAATTACGTCCCTCCATCTAATTTATTTACATTTCTAATTTGAAAATGCATACTGCTATTTGAACCGCACTTACTGAAACATGAGGCGGCTTTTGTGTGCTAATAAAGGCCATGCAAAATGATGACTAAAATTATATGTATATAGCTCAGGCTGGGGGCAGCATATGGTATGCAATAAGAAGTACCATTTTGTGTTGCCTCCTCGGACACAATGGTGGCAGCTTGCTGGAATGGCAAAGGTGGCAACGCCTCCGATGGTGGCCTGCTACTGCCGAACCCGACGACAACAAATAATCCTAACGAGCGTAAGTCGTCGAATAATTTAGAGGGTCATATGATGCATGGTGTCTTTCACTCTAACGGTTCGGGCATTTGCTGTGCGTCAATGGGATGGAAACCGGTTTCGACTTGGCTGGCCGCCTGATCCTCGACTTTTGGGACCGCTTATGCACTGGATTGCATGCAAGGTAATATCAAATAATCCACTATGTGCTCATAATTTACTAAGGAAATTTGTGATTAATGTATTTTCACATTACAAAAAAGTTGTAGTTAAATATCCTGCATGAAGCAGTTTGTTGCATATTTGGTAGGAAAGTGAGCTTGAACGACAATTCACATAAAAGAGGGATGGAGTTGAGGCTAATCCACGGAGTAACATACAGCGAGCCATGGTTTGGTCGTTGGGGTTACAAATTTGATCGCGGGACTTCTTGTGTCACTCAACAAATGTACCAAAAAGCCATTGAAGCTCTACAAGGCATGCCCTTATGCTTGCTCATTAACCATCTCGTCACGTCCAACCATGAAATCCCTCTCATCTTCTCAAGGTATAGCACATTGTCCGACAATTCTTTGGTCACAATCGGTGACCTTTTCCACTTCATGCTAAAGCTCAAGTCGCGGTTGCCACCCACAAATCATCAAAATCCATGTATTGATTCAATCTATAATACGGGAGTGTTGGCGGAAACTAATTGTAGATGGTCTCCAAAAAGAGTTGGGATGGCGACTCGAGTGATTGTTGAGGGCTCAGTTTAGGTGGGTATCTAGACAAGAAGTTAGGGATGCCGCCCGTGCCTATATAGGCGACATAGGGTTGCTAGATTTTGTGTTGAAGTTACTAGGAAACCACATTGTAGGAAATTACTTGGTTTGTCGCATGTTGAATCTGGCGACTAAAGTTCTCGAGTACTGCTTAGAAGATATCTCAAATCATGCTTCCCCTAACCATCAGGACGGTTTGCTCATGAACAATCCGAAGGCAAAGGCTGCGTGGAACAAGATTTCGAAGTTTCAGTTAATGAAGGACATTTTCTACTTGTACAAGTACGTCCTCAAGGACCAAAAGATGAGTAATGCAGGTATCTTTTCAGCGATTCCAATGGCTGTACGGATCATTCTCGATTCCAAGTACCTTGTGAAGGATTACTGCACCGAGGTGGTGCCTTTGAAAGGCATGGAGGGAAAATCAAACATCTACTGCACAGTAATGCTAAGAAACAATTCCGAAGAAGAAGACGATAACCATAAGAATGTTATAAACAACAATGCAATAATATTGCAACCGTACGAGTGCGTGACCTTGAAAAACAGTGCTACAATTGATGATTTGAAGCAAGAAGTGGAGAGGAATTTCAAGGAGATCTACTGGGGGCTGAGGGGATTCGTGGTGGATTCAGTTGCACACCTGAACAATGCGAAGGGGACAGATTTGGCATTTGGCATGGTTGAGGTGGGTCAAAATATTGTGCTTGAGGGTAGGTGTAGCAAAGAGATGTGTGGAGTTAGTGAGATGTTTGAATGTGGAGCAATCAACTATCTCGTGCACTGTCCCTGTGGAGCAAAGGAAGACGACGGGGAAAGAATGGTGTCGTGTGACATCTGTGAAGTTCGGCAGCATACGCTTTGAACAGCGAACAAGTTCCTCATATATTTCTGTGCAACCGATGTGAACGAGAAATCATACTTTTGCCTTCTCCGTAGTATCATCTTCTTCAATTTGTGGTGATGTAATTTTATCGGGCGGTTTGACCTGTTTAGGTGTGAAGACGGACGAGTTAATGCCCGTACTGAATTCTTACTAATTAGTTAAGATTTTTTCTTTTGTTTTGGGCCTTGGGCCCTAGCCAAACAAGAGAGTTCGATCTTGATGACAAACTTATGGGCTCTATTCTTACTGAATTATTCCTGAATTAGTAAACTCAAATGTGATTGTTCGAATCAGACGGTGGATTGCTTTGGTGAACAAGATCTTTTATTCATTTTATTGTGTTACGAGTTCAAACTCTTTTTTTTTCCGCTAATGTAGAATAGAGTAGTAAAAATGTGTGATTGTTCAACTAATTAAGCCTTAATTATTGAGTTTGGTTTATATATCGAAATCGCTAAGTTAGACTTTAGCGCTAAATTAGGAGCTTATTATAAAGCAGAAGCAACGGTTTTAATTAAAATATATATATATATATATTATAAAGTAGAAACTTGTTGAAAATGATCTCGGACCAAATTTATGTTTGTGGTTGGTTGTAATTGGCGTGTTGCATACTCGCCTAAAAAGGGAAACATTCCCTTCGTTTACAAGGATCATTTTCTTTGAAACGGCAACAACTTTTCATTGACTTATATCATTTAGCAAAAATTTAGATAAAAGTATAGGAGAGCTCTACACCACCAATTTTTTTAGCTTTTTTGTTTTGAAGATGGATTAGCTGATAGTTGTACCATGATAATTTACATTTTTGAAAACAGTTATATAAGCATTATAGTATTTCTC